TAAGTGAGACCCCACAGAGGGCAACAGGGGCTCAAGCCTCTGTGTTCCACTGATAAGGGAACCCAAGCTGAGTCTTGTAGGGGTGCAGGGGTGGAGGGAGGCATGGAATTCTTCCTAGATAGGAGCATATATCCTCCCCTCCCCGCCACCTGGGTGGGATGTGTCCCTACCATGTCCTTTTTGGAGAAGGAAAATCTGAGTCTCAGAGAGATGAAGTAAGTAGCCCAGGGACACATAGCTGGCAAGAAGCAAAGCTAAGATTCGAGCCCAGATTGTCTGGCTGTGGAGCCTATACTTCTCTCTAGGACGCTACTGTCTCCTGCTTTATATATGTAAAGGAATGAATTGCCTGGAAACCAAAGCATCTTCAGGGACAAGGGTGCAGAAAGCCACACTCTCTTCCTTCTCTAAATTATTTCCCTGTGGAAAGACAGTCATTGTCACAAGATTATCACCCCCACAGGTCAGATTAGCCACTGAGTCAGCAGAACCCTGACACTTGAAATCAGGACACAAACATGTGGCCTATGTGAAAGAGTGAAGGAAAAGCCTTTAGCCAGTTGAGCTAGACATCTCTGGCCTTCCATGGTCAGTACAAAGAGGCACTGGGTACTGTCATGGAGCACAAAAATTATTCCAAGTTGCTTTGGATCTAACCTAGTAGGCATTCAAAAAGCCTTTAATCCCAGCACTCGGGAGGCAGAGGCAGGCAGATCTCTGTGAGTTCAAGAGCAGCTGGTTTACTTAGTGAGTTCTAGGACATCTAGCACTATATACAGAGACCCTGTCTCAAAAAAAAAAAAAAAAAAACCACTGCATCTTGTTTGTTTGCTGCTATCCAAAGATCCTTATCATGACCTTGTTCTTGGCAAGTTTGTCCACTGGTCTCTCATCATCTCGTTGCTGCAAACATTGACTATGTATCCAGTGGCAAGTGGATGATGCCAAGTTAAAGGCAAGAGCTACAGCCCACGATTACCAACTCTCAGTGCCCATTGCTTGTCTATGTAAGATGTTCATGTTCTCATTCCCTGAGCGCTGGACCAGATGCTCAGACCCGCAGAACTTGCCTGGTCCGTCACCATGAACAATGAAGTAATTCCGGCCTCTGGCTTGGTCCCTGTACCTTGACATCCTTTCCGTCATCACTGCTTTTTGTCCCATCCCAGCTCCCCATCTAGCCCTTATCTCACCCACTGTATCAGTTAGCTAATGCTGTGTAACAGACTACTCCCTCACAGACCTAAATGAGTTAAGCAACATACATCTCTAGCCCAGCATTTCTGGGAGGATCAGGAATCTGATGCAGAGCAGCAGGGTGGTTTGGGGGTCAGGGTCTCCCCAAAAGCCAGGTGAGCAGAGATTCTGTTGCAGCAAACACATATAGCTGTTTCTGGTGGGTGTTGCTTCCCCTGCTTAAACAGTCCTAGGGAGTAAGAGCCCACGGTGGAAGCCTGAGACTTTCATGACCTGGTCTTGGATGTGACAGGGCATAAGCTCCGATGCGGTTTCTTGGACCTGCTGACTCTCCCTAGTACAGAAGGGGAGGACGCTATACAAGGCCCTGGAAGGGCAGGGGTAGCCCAACACCTGCATCCCAGGGGCAACAGATGCAAAGCGAGGGCATCCTCTTCCCTCAGTGGGGCCTTTCCAAACTTCCATCAGCCCTGTCATGGCTGTGGCCACTCCCTCCTGGAAGAGGTGTTACAGAATATCACTGGGCTCTTCTGTCCTGGGCACTGCCCGGAAGCCATTGCACATCACCAGAGGGCCACATCAATCTGCTCTGCTTTTCCTAGAAAAGTAAAATCAGGGCACTTCAAACTGGACTGTATGGATCTGGAGATGTCAGAGAGTCTTAGGGTCATAACAGCTGACAGTACCAAGCCTTCTTATGAGTCAGGCACAATGCTGCCCTAAAAGAGAAAATGATAAACCGTGAGAAAACTGGGCCCTATGTTTTCTTTTCTGTAGTGTTTGTTTTGTTTGAGACTGAGATCAGATCTCACTCTGTGGTCTAGGCTGGCTTGAGTTCACTACTTAGTCCATAATGGTTTAAAACTGAAGGCAATCCTCCTGCCTTAGCCTCGAAAGTGCTAGGATCACCAGTCTGAGCCACCACACCTGGCAGCATCATGCCCTTCAATGTCCACCAACATCCTGGATCTGCCTGTTGTACAGGGAGGAACGCTGAGGCCACAGGACTGGTCGCTGGCCTGTGGGCAGGCTTCAGGGGAGACAAAGGCCCCTTCCTTCAAGCCAGGCATCTGCCTTGCTGGCCCTGCCTCCTGGGGTGAGTAGACCGGATTCTTTTCCTCAGGCATTCACATAATTGCACACCCTGGGTGACTTAAAGCAATGGGGACCCCTCCCTCCTTTCTGGAGGCCGAAAGTAAAACTGAGTGCTGGCAGGACCAAGTGCCTCAGAGGAGTCTGGGAGCAGCCTTCACCTCTGCTTGCAGTTTCTAGAAGTTGCAAATTGTTGGCTTTCTCAGGCTTGAACACATGCCACTCAAACTTCTGTCTCCATCCTGCCAGTGGCCTCCACTTAGTGGCACACCCTCTCTGGATCTGTATCAGAATGTCTGTCTTATGAGCATAGGCCTGGGTTTAGGGCCGCTCTAATCCATCCCTACTGGTTTATATCTGCAGAGACCCATTTCCTAATATGGTTACACTGTGACGTTCCAGGGGACAGGAGTTGTAGGGACACACTGTCCACCCTACTCCAAGGACCATCAGAACTGTCAGTTAATGTGTGGTGTATGTGGTACTATGCAGTACATGTGGTTGGAATGTGTGGATGTGTTATTTGTGCAGTGTGTATACAATGTGTGTTCATACATGGTATGCATTGTGCGTGTGTGTGTTGTGTGTTGTGTGTGTATAGTGCATATATGTGGGGTGCATATATTAAGTGTGTGCTCCATGTGTATGAGTTGCATGTACTATGTATGTTCAATGTGTGGCATGTGGGTATATTATGTGTGTAATGTATATGGCATATATGCCATGTACATGTATGTAATGTGTATGTTGCGTGAATATGTAGTGTGTAACGTGTGGAGAGGCTATGGGGGAGTGGTTAGTATGTATCTGGGGTGTGTGTGTGTGTGTGTGTGTGTGTGTGTGTGTGTGTGTGTGTGTGTTATATGGCATGTGTTGTGTGTATGTTCTGGTGGGAAAGCAGGACAGAGGCAGAAAGAAACCCTGCTCCAAAAGCGTCTTGCTCTGGGCTCACAATGCATGTCCTACTTTCCTATTTTCTCTTGGTTTTCTTGCGTATTATTGACAACACTAACCCATATTCTAGGTGGTTTAGTCAGCACTCTCTTAGAGGAAAAAAGACAATGGCGCCTGGTGTCTGATCCTGGATCACAAAGCCCCTGCTGCTCAGGTTCCCCAGCAGCTTCCCAGGGAGAAGGGACAACGCACATGGCAAGGAGGAGCATGAAGTGTGACAGGAGCCCCTTTTTATCTGTGAAATTCACAGTTTGCCATAGGTCTTGGACAAGAGGATGTCTCCTTTCTTCTAAAAGCCAGTAGCTGACACACAGAGGTAGTTATAAGAAATAAACATTTTACCCTTAATGATCCAGGATGCTCTAGCACCCGTGGGACTATGAAAGCATCTCTGGCACCGTTTTGCATTTCAGACAGTTCTTGGCATAACTACATCCATACATTTTCTGCCTGGTGCAGAACAACAAACGTGTCCTCCACCGCAGCTTGCAAGTTGGCAAGGGTACACACTGCTGCCGTATTTCAAACACAGCAAGTACGCTGCACCCAGATCTCCTCAGGCCTCCACCTTTGGGAGTGCCTCCCCTCATCCTACTGTCCTCGCCTGGAGTTGAGAGCTCAGGGTTCCCTTATAGTGTGCCCCGTCCTCCATCAGGCAGTCCCTGCCCTCCATCCTTTGTTTGGCTGGAAATTCCTAGGCCCAGGTCCAATCTGATTCTGACACAGAATTCTGGGATGCTTCAGGAACTCTTGATGCCAACCTCTCAACAGCCAAGTCCTGCCATGACCCTTCCATCTCCATGTCAGTGTCTTGGTATCTGGTTTACTTAAATTCACTATTTTCATTTATAAGAAAAATCCAAATGTCCCTTAGTCTTAAGTGGGGGTTTTTGTTTGTTTGATTGATAAGCTTTGTTGCTGTTTTGTCTTTGGCCAGAGATAAGACTCAAATGTGTAATCTTGGACTTGGAACAATTGAAGGCTGTCAATTCTTCAAGTTTGCTGTATCCAAATTATACAGCAGCGTTCTTGGCTCAGGCAGGACCAGTACCTCCCACTACAGGGAGGTACTTTTCCCTCGGCTCATTCTCATTAGGCTTTGACCTGCAGCTTGCTGAGCCAATGGAGTACAGGCAGAAGCAACCAGAATGCAGCTCTGAAACAAAGACCTCATCCTGTTGCTGTTTCCTCTTCTTGTGTTCTGAATTCCTGCAATGGTCTAGAACAGGCTTCCTCAAACCTCGGCCCTGTGACAATCACAAGGAGCAAACACAAACCCCACTCTCAGCCCAGAACAGAGCTACTCCAACTAAGACAGAGACTGTGGGGAAACTAAATGTAATTGTGACTGAGTTAGGGGCCGCTTGTTATACAGCGATAGCTTACCGAAACGGCTACATTCACTTAATTTCTCTGGACCTTCATTTCTGCATCTATAAAATGGGACCACTGGATCATAATCAGTCAACCCAATACTTTTACTCATGCTGCATAAATAATGGCTATGACACATGTCCAATAGTGCCCGCGACCTAACGTATTAGAGACTCAGCCTGCCGACACTTGAGGCAGAGAAGGGCGGGGAAGTTTTAACTGAGGTTAAGAACTTGGGACATGTTGGTGTCCTTAGAGTGAGCTGTCACAGCGGGAAATGATGTTCCACTGTAGAGCTATGGTGGTTTAAATGTGCCCCCACAGGCTTGGGAATCTGGACACTTGGGGAGGCTGTGGACCCTGCAGAAAGAAGGTGTACTTACTAGAGGAAGTACAATGCTGGGGCCACCTTTAGGCATTTCTTGTTTCACGACGTCTCCTGTTTGCTTTCACCACTTCCTGCTTAATGTTGAAGGCTTGAGCTCTCAGCTTCCCACTTCAGCTGTCATGCCTGTCTGCTGCCATGTCTCCCAACCATGATGGACTCTCCTCCCTCTGCAACCATACACCAAAATGAACTTCTTTCCATAAGTTTCTGGTCGTGGCGTTTTATCACAGCGGCAGAAAGTAGCTCACACAGCAGTTGGGACCAGGATCATGAGGTATGGCTAGCCCTGTCCTGACCATATTCTTTTGCACAAGGTTGTGGAAGGAGTTTGGAACTTTGGCCTGGAAAAGTTTAGTAGGCTGTTCTGTAGGAGATTGTGAAAGAATTTGGAAGGTACTGCATGCAGTTGGTAGAGGCTTGCCTTGTGAAATTTCAGAGGAAAGTTTGAGAGTCTTTAAAAGACTGTATCAGAGCTGTTCATGTGATCTGTTTCAATTAATCTTCAGTGGCTTCTGGTCAGCCGAAGCTGAAGAGTCACCTGTTACTAACAGGAGAGCGGCACCATTGAAGTTTGTGAAACATTGTCTTGATTAACGATTGATGCGGGAAGGCCCAGCCTGAGGCGAGTGGTGTCAGCCCTGGGCAGGTGGTCCTGGGTGGGATAAGAAATCAGGTGAGCAAGCCATGCAGAGCAAGCCAGTAAGCAGCACTCTATGGGCTCGGCCTTAGCTCCAGGTTCCTGGCCTGCTTGAGTTTCTGCCATGACTTACCTTCATGATAGACTGTAACCTACAAGCCAAACAAACCCTTCCCTCCCCAGTGTTGCTGTGGTCAATGTTTTATCATAGCAACAGAAACCAAACTACAACAAGAGCCAAAAGGTAGGGTGTGTGTGTGTGTGTGTGTGTGTGTGTGTGTGTGTGTTGTACTCTCGAGTCACTTTGCTGGCAAGGGAAAGAAGAATAGAAGGATAGTACCTACAGTATACAGTCAAGAGGAGATGGGTAAGTGGTGGTTGTGGGTTATTTGGTTAGCTGGCTGGCTAGCTGGCTGGTTGGTTGCCTGGTTAGTTTATTGGTTGCTAACTGGATTTGAGATTTGGTTTGAGATAGAAGATAAGCAGAGTGTAAAGAAACCTCTTCAGTGGTGTGGTAAAGGATGAGGAGAGTTGGGCTTAGGCTGCAGTGAGCAGGGAACACAGTGCCTGAACTATGAGAGAAAAGAGGACGGCCTCACAGGGTTTATGTGCCATCTTGCCACATATCATTTACACTTCAATCTCTCAAACCCGAAGGCATGGCAGCTGGAAACCAGTGAAAGATGATTGCGTGGGAAGAGATTGTGCTCGTGCCTTCTGGTCAGATGATGAACGTAAATTTGATGTGGGAGAACTCAAACATTTTTTGGGAAGCATACTGAGTTGAGGACTTGTTTTGCAAAGCAGTTTTCCAGGAAACGGGTTTTGAAATAACTAAGAGCTAATAGGGGCTGAATGTTGCCAACAACAGGTTAATGACAGTACATGTTGCTGGTATAAAAAGCCTGTTCAAAAAGCCCTTACTTTCAAAGACACTGGGAATTATAGCCACGGCCTCTTCACCACATAGAAAATAAAAGTTCTGAGGTACAAAGGGGCTGTGGAGCTCCTGTGCTGCCTTTCTTCTGTGTGTGTGTATGTACATGCACACATTTTACACTTAGGTAAACTGAGGCACAGTGTGTTATCTAGATTGCTTAAGGTCTTAAGGTCATTAGGTCAGTCAGGATTTGAACCCAGGTCATCACACAGCCCAAGCTCCAAGCCCTTACAGAAAGTGGGAAAGGTAAGCAAGGGTAGGTGTCTGTGGACTGGCGAGCTGCTGATGCCACTTGAGAGGGTATTGTGCTCCTGAATGGGCTTGCCTGTCCACTCTTCCCTGACGCTGCCTCACATCTTTTCTCTAAGAAGCAGAACACAGATGAACTTCAGTCCACACCATAGTATAGCCTGAGCTATGAGGGTAAAATCCCATCCTATAACAAACCAGCACGGTGGCTGCACGGTGGTGCACCCAGAGGTGCCCTCTAGGATGACTGCCACAGTGTCAAAGAAAGGTGACCATGAATGTTCATTATGTCCCCACAAAGTCGTGTCCTTTTGTTCAGCTCCGTCAAGCGGGTCACGGAGTGCCAACTGCACAATAGAGTGTATGGAGTGCTTGGGCCCAGTGCTGAGTTTCCCACCGAAGTGAGTAACACCTGCTCCTGCCCTCGGGCCGCCCACCTTCAGAGGGGAGCCGCTGGGTGATCGGGGATAGAGAGGGCCACAGGTGGGAGGAGACAGGAGCCTGGGAAGCTGTCAGTGAAGAAAGGGAAATGGGCAGTAAGCCGTGGAGCACAGGGGAACTGAGAAGAAAAGTGAGAACAGTTGAGAGGTGACAGGAGATGCCCTGACAAGGACAGGTCCCCAAGGGCCCTCGTGAGCAGGAAGAGAAGGCGGCCCAGGGAAGGGTTTTGTACACTGAGATACAGTTAGCTGGGGGGGGGGGGTCTCCTGGCTGTAGGTGCAGGGTGAATTTGAGGAACTGGAGACAGGGCAAGTTGGGGGAGGGAGGGCAGACGGAGGACGAACAGGATTATGATTCCCTCAGCCTCAGACGCTCTAGAAGTCCTCAGCCTTAAGAGAGAAGAGAGAAGAAGGGATAGATCCAGGGCTGCCTAGGAATCTGAACGGGTTGGATTGTTGGTTGTTTGGTTGTAGGAATGAGAGACAGGAAAAAAACAAAACAACCCACAAGATGAAGACCCAGAGAGTTGGTGGCTCTCTGGGTAGGGGTGTATGTGCAGAGAAGTGAGGCCTATTGAATCTCCTCTTCCCCACAGGAATGAGGAAAGGAAGTGTGGCCTGCCCGATGCCACACCGCAGGCACTTGTTGATCCCTGAATGAAAGGTCTGGCTGACGCCCAGAGCACAGTGCTTTTCCTGAGAGCCTTCTACCCTTGCCTTCCACAGTCCCTCCTATCGGGGATGTGCTCCCTCAGGTGCCTTGTTGTGTGCTTGCACTCTGGGAGGGTTAGAGCGTGTAGCCGTCTGTACTCCCTTCTCAGTGCTTTGCAGCCTGGGGCCCATTGCTTATCGATCTGTAAAGTGGGAGGATGGTGTGTGAGGTATTTTCCACGTCTCAGGAAGCCTAATGTAAATCGTGCTCTTATTGACAACAGGAGGGTGCAGGTTAGCTAAAATGTCAAGTGTTTTTGCTTTGGAGCGGAATGATAACTTGGCCCACGGATGCCGGCTCTCTCATTGATCAGCTCTGCTCCTTGGCAGGGCTTTCAATTGGCTTGTCTCTGAATAATTACGACGGGAGAGATCAATCAGTCTCTACATAAATACTCATTGTGGCGGGGACAATAGAGCACTGGGCCTGTGGGGACAATCAGAGCAACAGTGGATGTTGGTGAAGAGTTCAGATGCTGGGGCTCTAAACAGCCAGGCTGGTGGTCAATAGGACGCTGTAGAGTCATGCGCGGTCTTTGCTGCCTCTCTACAGGAACTTAGACGCCTCCTCCCCCCTCCCAGAGGCCTGAGGTGTTCTACACACTCACCACCTCCACCACACATTTGCATTCCCTCCTGCCCCATCTCTCCTAGTCTTGTTCTCTTGTTTCTAATGTTTTGTCTCCCCTCGTTCATGGGACTGCTACTGCGATCGTATCCGTGAGGCAGACCAGTGCACACTCCAACCTTTGGCACTGAACGCTTGAATGAACAGAGAATTTATTTACTCTTTCAAGTGGAAGTCACGAGCACGGCCTTCTGCCGGGTGCTGAAAATACAGTGGCATTAGGGGCACATGGGAGAGAAACTCATTCTCTCCTCCCCTGCGTAGGCGCACGCTTGTGCACCTTTGGCCACATACGTAACAGTGTCCCTCGAAGCACTGGTGCTGTCCCAGGTGGGCATCGTCATGGCGGACGGCATTTACTAAGCAGCCACGAGGCACTTGCGGCTTTAGCTCAGATGCCGCCCTCAGGGGGATACGGTCAGCCAGGACGACAGGAGAGGTAGGTGCAACAAAATAATGCTGTAGGATCTGCACAGAACAGGGCAGACACGTGGGCCTTATTACAGACTGGCCTGGTTGAAGGGTCCTCATGCAAGAAGAGCAATGAGACAAGCTTTTGAAGGGTGGACGGGATAGAATGAAATGACCAAGGGAGGCATTTTGGCAGCAGGACTTGTAGCAGAGAAGGGTGCTGTGTGGCAGGAAGAAGAGAACCTTACGAAAAGACTTGAGGGTATTCCGACCAGAGCGTGGAGGCAGCTGATGTGTCTCTCTGGCTCTTGCCCCAGGTGTCTTTGTGCAATGTCATGAGGTAGGATGCTGGTGGAGGAAAAACCACTATTTCTAAGAGGTTGGCTTGGCTTCTTAGATCACCTCTGACACCATTTTTCCACTTTGAAAAAATAGGAAACCAGCCTCCTTATGGGACCGTGTTCAGGAACTGACTGTCCATGGAGATGAAACTTCATAAGCACGTGTTTGTGTGAGGATGGATAGCCCAGCAGGATAGCTCACAGCTGGATTCTGCTTAGGCTGGTGACAAATGAAAAACGCCTCACCCCTCCTACCAGGAAGTACCACATCACACATTTCTGCTGAGCCAGGAACCATGAGGTCCCCAGTAACTGAAACACGAGCCAGAAACAGCATGAGCTCCCCAAAGACACTTTCCCTGCAAGGTATCCCTGCCACAGGAACAAGTCTCTTCAAGGCTACTGGGATCCCCAAAGATGAGAGCTTACCTTAAATGGCAAAGGATAGCCTATTTGTTCTTGGGGTATCCGGGGGTGGGGAGGGGAACATTCAGAAGTTTTATTTCTGGGAAACCCACTTCTTCCTAAGCAAAGAAACATCAAACCTGAGAAACTGACTGAAACACAGACATAAAACTGACACTCTGCTTCGTTGATAGAAGAAGTGAGATTCTTGCCTCGTTCCTGCCTATTATGCTTTTGGTGTGCAGCTAGTGTGTTTGAACACTTGGACCCCAGTGATGGGACTCTTCTGGGCACTTGTGGACACGTTGGAACTATGGCTTAACTAACAGAAATGGTTTGCCGAGGATGGCAATTGAAGGTGGTAGCCACTCCGGGTTCCTGACTGAGTTCCAGTTTACTGAGCCACCAAGAGGTGAAGGAGCCATGCTACCAGCTCCTAACACTATGGCTGGAGTACCCTGTGGTCACCACGATAGATGAGTCATGAACCAAAATAAACTCCTCCTCCCCTAAATGC